TCATGCTTCTTGCCATGTCAATAATTGTACGATTCTTTCTTTCTGCAACTCCATTTTGTTGTGTCGTGTATCTAACTGTCAGCTGATGGACGATGCCATGCTCTTTACATAATTCTTCAAATAACTTTGATGTATATTCATCTATTCTATCTGATATGAGTATCTTCAAATATTGACCGCTTTGTTTTTCCGCCATTGCTTTAAATTCTTTCAATTTTCTAACGCTTTAATAATATCCCAAAATCTGGGCTAGTGACTAAAATAGAAATTTTGAAACTTTGGGGGTCTGATTTTGAAATATTTAAAAGTTCATGAACTAAATTGGAACATTTAGAGGATGATTGTTGGTAATTATTAAATTAAGTAAATGGTAATTTTGCAAGGAAAGATTTTTCTTTTTTTTTTCCTTTTAAGGGAGTAACCCACGTGGATGAAAGGAATAAATATCCCATCTTCCAGAGTCCTCTTTTTCTCCTTTCTTCTTCATACGTGGGAGCTCAAGGCAAATGTGAGAGTTCTTATTAGTTGATTTTCAGTTGAATTTCAAGTTTGGTTTTGATTATCAAGTGACTCTTAAGCTTAAGGAAAGCTTAAATTGTCATAAAACAATTAGAGGAAAGGTATAGAAATGATTAAAGGAAGTAAGTGAATAAATGAAATCTTGGTTGAAAGACATTTATTAGATTTCCAGACCAAATTTGACTTGTCAATGGTCTAATTAAGAAGTTAGAAACAATATAATTGAATTTGGAACACGTTGAAAATTTAGTGTAATTCTTGAATTACATATAGAGGATAAGATTTTGAGGTTAAAAAGGTGATTAATGAATAGAAATGAGTTTGAATATGTGTATGTGAGTTAAGAATATAAAAGGGAATGAAATATGAAGAGTTGAGCTAAAAAGAAAGTGAATTTCGTGCTCTAACTGGAATTTCTGGGTTGTGTGCATCGATGCACATTCAATGTGTACCGATGCACTCTTAAACAAATAAACATCGAATGCAATTAGTGCATCCATGCATAAGGAGTGCATCGATGCACCCTCTTAAGATAAAAACATCAAATGTGAATTGTGTACCGATGCATAGATAGTGCATCGATGCACTCGTTAAGGAATGCATCGATACATTATAGAGTGTATCGATACATACCTTCATTAAGAGATGAAGTAGCCTTTCTTTTAGTGTAAAAAGTGATAGTTTAAAATATATCAATTAGTATACTGATATGTATCAATGTATTGCTATATAGATTTAGAGCGTAATACTGTTCCGGAACAATCGAGGGAATAGGATCAAATCAAAGCAAGCAAGGCTAATGTGAGTGCATAAAATAGGTATAAGGTCATGGAAATAAGACTTGAGATAAGTCTATTTCCGAGATAAATGTCATAGTATAATAATATGAACATGCATATATTATAGTTTGGATTAAATGTGTGTAAGTTATATATGTTTACATATGATTCACCACATGTTATATGACTTATATGAATGTACTCAAATGCTTGTGTGGTAGAGTATGAGATGGATGATTATATGCATATGTGTTTATATGTTATAGTGAATGTTACATGATATAGATATGTATATAAATTTATGAACTTATATGACTATGAAATATGAATGTGATATGTGCATATAGAGAAGACTGAGTGATATGATCTATGTTATCATATTTAATATGTGATTACATGCACTTGTATTACATATTATATGATATGAGAAGAGTTTTACACATACATGTGGTATGTGACAGAAGAAAATAAATATGTCATTATAAGATCAATGATTACACGTACATGGGATACGTGATAGAAAAGAAGATATATGTGTTTATAAGAGAATGATATGAATAAGTGATGTTAATATGTGAATTGATATAAATGATAATACTCATGTTATGTGATTTGAGAGCTAGGGGTATAGTTGGCATGCCAAGAGTCGAGGGTTTACCTATGTCTTTCGGGACATATGGACAATTTACCTATGTTCTACGGGACATATGGATAGTTTACCTAGGTTCTTCGGGACCTATGGACAATTGTCGAGGTTCTTTATGACCTCTGGATAGGTCATTCGGGACATTTATACGAGCTGTGGTGACAGCATAGTAGTGCACTACCTCAATGTACTCAAATACCTTAAGTTCTCAGTAATGTACATGAGCCTATAAAAGATATGAAAAGAGTTTGTATGATTGTATTTTATCATGTTACCATTGCTTGTATTAAATCACGAATGCACAGGGATTAATAAGGAGATTAATAATGATCTATGCATATTTATTTATTTATTTATTTATATGTAATTTGAGATGATTTTGTTTGAGATAATGAAATGAGTTTGGATAATATGATAGAATATAGTATGCCTATATTGTTACATGTTATAAATGTATTATATGTTTTATGATGCCTCACTAAGTCTATGATTTAGCGTCTAAGTGATTTACACGTAGGTACCAAGAATCGGGAAGAACAGAAATATGAGTGGCAAGAACAGCAGCACTGCTAGAAGATCATATCAGAAGTAACTGATAAAGTATGTTTTTTGATGGTATATAGTGTGTTGGCATGTAAGAAAAGTGTTAGTAACAAATGCTCTGATCCTTTTTGTCTTATTTTGGTTAACTTGTATAAAGTAACAATGTTATTTTAATGAATATTTTAAATTTCCTTGATTTTCGTCAAGAGTCAAAGTTTGAAAAGTCAATGTGACACCTCAGACTCGTATCCAGGTCGGTACAGTTTGAGGGTGTTACAGCTTCTGACTTTTCTTTCATGATATAAATCCAACATTTTCTATTAAAATCCTCAATAAAAGTTAGGTAGTACCTGTTACCGCCAAGCGATGGTATATCAAAAGGACCTGTTATATTTGTGTGTATTATCTCAAGTGGTTTTCGGGCACGCCAAGATCTACCAACCTCAAAACTTTATCTATGTTGCTTTCCTTTAATGCAAGCCTCACATAATTGATTTGGAGGGTTGATCTCTGGTAGTCCTTTCACCATGCTTGTTTTTTTTAACAGCTTCAATCCAGAAAATCCAAGATGTCCATATCTTAGATGCCATAACCATGAATCATCTTTGATCACGGTCTTCATGCACTTGACTTCTCCCAACTCGATATCAATTGTAAAGAGACGATTTCGAGTCATATCAACTTGGGCTATCAATTCTCCTTTTTTATTTTTGATGGCAAGCGAGCGATTCTTTATCTGCACTTTATATCCTTTTTCCAGGAGTTGACCAAGACTGGTGATATTGCTTTTCAATGCAGGTACATAATAAACATCTGAAATGTATTTCTTTTCTCCATTTTTCTGAGTAATCATGACTTCGCCTTTTCCTTTTAGTTCTGTGTGCGAGTCATCTCCGAACGTTACTCGCCCATGGATTGTTTCATCTAATTTCACAAACAGTTCCCTTTGACCACACATATGGTTGCTGGCACAATTATCAAGATACCCAATATTTTTCTTGAATTCTTCATTTCCTTTATAAGTGATGAATACATGAGATTTTTCAAATTTTCTTCTTCAACTGCTGCTACGTTATTTCTTTCTTCTTATTTAAGAGCAGATCTACACGCATAACTATAATGACCATGCTTATTGCAATTATAACATTATACATGGGATTTATTTCCTTGTTGATATATGCATCTACCTCGGCCTCGGAATCTTCATCCACGACATGATGTTGGATTGTTTTCATTTATTTGATCGGTGCCATATGATCGACAACCACGTCTACGAGTTCCTCGTCCTCCTTTGTATCTTCCACGATAACCACCATGATTTCCTCGACCTCATGTATAGCTGCTGCTAGCTTCTCCTTTATTGACATTCATCTTGCTTTGTAGAGCTTGCTCCAAATTTTCAGAATCTTCATTTTGTTTCATTTTCTGCTCATGGGCTTGAAGTGAACCCACAAGCTCATCAATCAATATTTGGGATAAATCTTTAGATTCTTCGATTGCCACAACCACCTAATCGAATTTTCTTGTTAATGACCGTAAAAATTTTTCCATCACTCTAACATCGTCGAGTGATTAACCATTTCTTTTCATTTCATTTACGACTGCTTTCACACGACTAATATAATCATCGATGGTTTCTGTATTTTTCATTTTTAACATCTCAAACTCAGCTCTGAGAGTTTGTAAGCGTACCTTTTTTTCTTTTTCAACACCTTGTAGAGATTTTTGTAAAATCTCTCACGCTTGTTTTGCGGTCTTCGCATCAGAAATTTTTTCAAAGGTAGATTCGTCTACTCCTTGAAAAATAAAGAACAACGCTCTTTTATCTTTTTTCCGGGATTCTTTCAATACCTTCTTTTCTTCATTGGCCAGGGCTGCTTCTGCTACTACATTTTCAGGCTCAGTGTAACCACCCTCGATGATATCCCAACAATCTTGGGAGCCTAGTAACGCCTTCATTTGAATGCTCCAATTGCCATAATTTGTCTTTGTCAATCTCAGAATTTGAGGTTGAATCATGTTGGCCATCTTCTCCTCCACGTTAAACTCGAACCAAGCTCTGATACCACTTGTTGGAAGCATAGATGGGCTCTCAACAATTTTTATAACTCAAAATATTATTAATATTTGGTAAAATATGTTACAACGACGTTATCCCAATATTACAATACTACAACACTAGTTGCGGCTAGTTTACAAACACAACTTCACTATTCTTTTCTAAGCTTTACCCTCTCTCTAATAGCTTTGCTAAGCTATCTCTCATTCTTGCTTTTTTAAGATTTTCCTCATTTGTATTTCTTGTATTTCATTCTAAACTAAAACTATCTAACCATATTTATAGAAGTATATAACCGACTAACTTTGCTGCTAATTTCTTCTTCTATTGCCACGTTTTTTTTTCCTTAATTATTAAGCATGAGCATGTTGTCAAAACTACTAAGAAAGTTGTTGCCACCTCATTATTGCTTGACGCAACTCTTTGTCGCCTCAAACTTTCCTTCACGTGGTCATTATACTTTGCTTGCCTTGTTGAAATTCTTCACTTTTCCATAGCCGTAATTTTTGACTTTGTTAGAATTAAGTTTGATTTCTAACATGAATGACGTGGAAGGGCATGACGGGGAGGAGTTGGAGGGCGAGCCACGTGTTGAGGTGGAGGGAAGGGACGATGACTTCGGGGTCGATGGCGAGGTCGGCGCCGACGAGGGACTTGGTGAGGAAGTTGAAGATGAAGTTTTGGAGATGTGGGGAATAGGATGAGCTGCCTCCTTGGCAGTGTAGAATTCGATGGCGTCGAAGAATTTGTGGAGGTTGACATGGAGTTCTTTCACCCACACCTTGGAACCCCGCTTCAGTATGTCTATGGCAAAGCTCTTGATCTGTGGTGTTTATCAAATTATTTAAATGCTCATGAATTAAATAATAATAATACAAGTTAGTAGAAATTTTTAATTATAAAAAAATAATAGTTGTTATATTATTTATGTAAAACTGTCCAAACAAACATTGCTTTAAAAATTTATCTCATATAAGATGTTATAAAAATTATTATTATTATAAGATATTACAAAAAAAATCTTAATTATTGTATGATTCATGTATATTCTCAAAAAAAACTGTGTGAATCGGAACATTTTTTCAGAATTATGATATAATTCGAGCATCTTCCCATTGATACATTATATGAATCACACCGGATGAAGAAAATAGTTTTTTCACAAATCCCTTTCAACTAAACTTTTGCATGTCTTTGGCCGGACGGGATAATGAAAATCTTCATGTCTTTACTTCAGTTGTTTATCGTTCATCAATTGCTTTAATTATCTGCTTTATATATATAAGCAATTACATGTTTGATATATCTCTAAAAAAGTTTTAAAAAATAACATTGAAATTTGTCAATATATGTTTCATAATTCATATTAAATTATATTTTAATAAGATATTTGCAAATAATGTATGAAATAACTACTCCATTTTCCCATCCTTCTATTTCCCTTTTTTCCCTTGGCTTTTCCCAAGATCCAAGCAAGGTATTTACCAATCACATAGTTAACCTTACGAAAGGGTATCAATCTACACCTTTCTAAAAAAAATTTTATACAAAAACTAAAAATAAAATTTTAAAAATTTTAAAAATTTTAATACTCATAATTTATTCTTATTTGTCTGACAAAATATCTCTAGTTTTTTTTTTAATTTAGCATCATATATTTTTTTAATAGTTTAAAATGATTATGAAGTTGTATTTATTCAAAATCTTAATTAACTATTGATAAACACAAACTTAATCGCTTGAGCTCAATACCTCTAAAAAATAATTTTCTTTTCTTTTCTTTTTTTATTAATTTGGGGTAAGTATAATTTAATATATATTCAAAAATAACTCTCAATCTCTCAACATTAAACGCTCACACCCTGACATCCTTGATGCTCAAACTCAAATCTTCAAAAAATAATAATTCTTTTACCATATACCATTTGGTTTGTGTAAACTATTAAGACCTATTCCCAAGTTCTTTTAACATCTAAAATTTTCTGATTCGGCCTATTATAGCTAATGTTTTGTAACCAAAGAAACGAAGGGATCACCTATATAAACTAATGTGGTCCCTATAGGTAACAGATTTATCCATCTTTATCAATATGATTTATGAACATTATAAACTAGCTTAATACATTTTAATAACTATGATATATTCATGAAAAATATGATATTGGACTCATGTTTTTTTTATTATTCTCGAAACTACAAGAGATATTATTACAGTATTTGTGAGTGAACCGAATAATTTTACTTATTGTGTTATTTGTTAAATTCAAATTCTTGAAGAAACATCGAAGCTCTCAAGTTAAGTAAGGAGAAAAAGAAAATGAAGAAATACCTGGGCGTGTTTAGGTTCAGAGGTATCAAGATAAGCGCAAACCCTGGTGTCGCCCGTGAACTCGGTGCTAGGCATGAAGTCGCCGACCAAAACATCTTTTTTCTCGACAATTTCCATGTCGAAAAGATGGGAGAAAGACTTGCAGTCTACGATGGCGATGACGTTGGGGTTTACCGATCTCGAAAAGTAAGGGAAACTCGGGGGAAAGTTGGTACGGAAAACAGTGCAATTGTGCTTCTCCATTCTCGACCTGAAGAACGTGTCTGGTCCTTGAACCAGAAGTAGTCGAGATGGTCTGATATTTGTCCTATCAAAGGCCGGCCGTGTGATCCTGGGATTGTACGGCGTGGGAGCTTTGATGATGGTGGTGCTGATAGAGACTCAGTTGCCAACGGTGGTGCTGATGATGATGATGATGATGGGGTTATGTTCATCATCATGGTCGCCATGGCCACGAGAAGCAAGAAGGTTTAGTTTGGATAAAAAATATTGGTTCTGTGGTATTGGTTTTAAATTTTAATAATCTCATAACTGGAAATTGGTCTCTTTATAGAAATTGTGAAATAGTTTCTTTGTAAGTCGGACTCAGAAGGCAGACAAAACAAACAGAAAGAAAAGGACCTATCGAGACCCACCAAGTCTGAAATAGTTCTATCGCTGACAAAATATATACACGTATATAGTTCATCATGCCCACGTTTACTATTTTCACTTCTTTTTTATTAAACTGTTTTCACATTACATGCACGTGATTATCAAATATTTCTAGCCATCAAAAAATTATTTATTTAAGGGTAAATTATAAAATTTATCACTCAAATTTGTCTTTATTTTATTTTGATCATTAAAACTTGCTTTTTTAAATTTAATTATTCAACTTTTTAATACTATTCTTATTTTGATAGTATGTTAAATAGAAAATTAATGGTTAAGTTTCTAAACTATTGCTGTTCGGTGAAGATAACATAGCACAACTCTTCTTTTCTCTAAATTTTTCGTCTTAGCTTCAATTTTTTTTATCTTAACATTAATTTTAATATTCATCTTCCATTCATAATATTACTTTTTTTCCTCTTTGTCTACACTTTTATTTTAATTTTAAATAATTTTTCTTTATAACACGTTTTTATCTATTTTATGATACGCTTTCTTTAATTGTTCACACATTTTTTAATAGTTCCACTTTATTTTTGTCCGTTGTTCTTAGATGTCCTAGATTCAAGTAATCGTATATACAATATGTATGTTTTGTGAATAGTTAAGAAAAATTAACACAAATATCGCTTTTAATCACCTCAAATTTTATAAAAATAAAAGTAATTTCATTCAATTAGTAATTAATAAAAATTATAAAAGCTATTATTAGTCTCATTCACAATTTAATTTATCTCAAAATTTTAAATATATTCAATTATTTTTAATTATTTACTTAACCTTAATTATCCTACATAGTCATCTTTAAGATATGCGCGGGAGACGAGTATGAACAGCACCGTGTTAACTTTGAAAAGGCAGAGGCAATTTAAACAGTTTAACCTCCCAAAGACCTAAATGTGCAAACTACAAAGTGAAGGAAATATGATCAAAGATTAAAGCATTTTCGGGTTTTGAACTTCATGAAGGGAGGGAGAAGGACGATCCACCATGTTTACTAGAAAACGGCGTAGATCTCTTAGACGTGCGTTTCGTAGAGATGAGGGAAGGTTGCTCTCCCACTCTTCCATGGCTACATCGATGTCGTCATCGTCGGAACTTCTGAAAAACGGGTGCATATACGCGTTCTGAAGGAACCCTTTCAAGTTCAAATTCGGTTCCCTTGCTCGCTCCAATGTATCCTTCATCATTGCTTTCTACAAACTCAAATAACAAGTGTTGGACTCGGGAATGTTTGAATTACTTCTAGTCATGTAAGATGTGTTTAACAGAGAGCAACCTGTAAAGGATATCGTACAAAAGCCGGTTCGTAACGCTCTTTGCAGAATCTGTGGAACCATATGGTCAATACAGGAAGTGTGATAAGCCACGGCGTCGATGAAGCAGCTTCTTTTGTGCTCAATAATCCCATTAGTAGCAGCTGCGAGACGATTAATGCGACAATGATACGCAGATGAACATTGGGCCAGAATGCAGCAGCACTTTCGTATTTTTGATTGTAGACATTTATGATCTACAAAAGTTCATTTAAGTAAATATTACAGCAGGAATTTACAAGAGAAGATAAAATAGATAAAAATCTGTGGTTAATCAATTGGAACTATTTAACTTTTCTTCTATAATCTCGATATCTCCATGAAGTATCTTCATGTTGACTTAAGATTGAATCTTAAATTTGATACCCAGTAAGTTTTAATCGAAATACACAGAACAAGTTCGTGATCACTAAATCAAGCATTGGTATCATTGTCTTTTCACTACCGATCCTAAACATAATGATCCTACTCTGGAAAGATGTAAGTTCTCACCTGATGGCGGAATACGACATAAGCCAACCCAAAGAACACGATTATGAAAGGAAGCAGGATAGGAGTAACTACAGCATAAACAAGACCGAGTAAGAAGTAAAGCTGTATTTGAGGTTCTCCTGTATTGAAACCAATGGATCCAGGATCCATCGCCTCTTCCCGGTCCTTTTCGGTTTTAACCAAGAAGAAATTCTTGAAGTGATAGATTATCAAGGGTTTCAGCCTCAGTATCTCGGCAGCAACTCCAGCCCAACCGTCGACCATTATATAAGTAATGAAGAATGTTGCCTTCATTGGAATTGAGGCACCAATTGTCTTTGGTATCCTACAAGTAAGCCATATGATATCATATAAGAGAAAACCCTTGAATGAGAACTTAATATTGCTGATAAAACATACAAGTATTGTATGGTCTCATGATCCACACAAACAACATAGAAGTTTTTGGATTACATTGTAGAAAAAGTAATCAGAGTAATGATGAAATGAAAGAGCAAAGAAACTTCTTGAAGCAATGGTGTATTCAGGCATTGGTATGGAGCTTTTGACCCTCAAGTACATAAAAAATCATTTTAAAATACTGAACACATCCGTGATAGGCACAATCATATCCAACATTGACACCCGGGTCCAAATAAATAAAGAACTAGAAGCCACTAGATGAGATGAATGGCAGGAATGAGCAGTACTAGAGCAAATCTGGCTGTGTTAGCAATGTTATCACTGCTAAATTAGATCCTAAACTCTAAAGCCACTAATAAGGATAAAACAGACAAGATAAAATATGAAAATAAATACTACAACTGCGGATGCACATAAACGTAAGCTTGTCAAGTGATAGTGCTAAAGAGAAGAAGGCCTGTATGAGAACATACTCGTGAGCAGACTGATGTATCAAATGATTTAGTTGCTGAAATGCAGTTCCGGTGATTATGCTCCCAAGAAACACGTTGTTAAATTGGAAGAAATAATATCTACTTGCTGATCTCCTTTCCAGAGCAGATAGGCTAATAAATCCTTCAAACTTCGACATTATCATCAATATTGTGGGCAGAAATATAAGAAATATCTTCAGAACAATCCCAGGAAGAAAGCCTTGAATGAATGACTTTATGAATTTCCTGTTGTTATTTTTTTGCGATTGAACAAAATGTTTAAAACAATTGTATAAGCTAAAGAAAATTCTAGCAGCTACAATAGCTATTTGCTAATAAAGCTTGGCCTAAAAGTAATAAAAAGACAGTAACAATTTCCTTTGTTCTTCAATGCAAGGTGAAGAAATATTATAACAAGGAAGAAGAAAAAGAAAACTCACACTTCAATTATAGGTTTAAGGAAGGGAAGTGCTTTCTCAATGCTCTCTATATTAGCAAGGGACTGTACGATTGCGATAGGAATCATGAAAAAGAATGTAAGGAAGAAAAAAGCAACTGCAACAATGAGCCTCCGAATAGTGAGAAAAACAAACGGAATTGCAAGGTTTTCCCAGTACACTTCTCGTGGTTCCGGGGCCCAGTCGGTCAACCATATAGTTGGGTTCCTACATTGTTGAGTTTGTGCACAAACAGCAGCTCCCCATCGAGTTTTGAAGGAAACAAAGGCTGTCGGCATGATGGATTTAGGGTTGTTTGTAATTTTCTCCCTCTCAATGGATATCTGGTAGTCATCGGGTGAACAGAAGATTAACAACACACCTTCACATTACACATTACAATGTAAGCATGCGTGCATGCAGTTTAAAACTAAAAGCTTTTGAGCATGCTTAATATTCAATAATTATCATAAGCTCTAAGTAACAACTAACCAGTACATTGGTCAACAACTTGGGGATGTCAAAAAGAGTACTTGGGGTTATTGGCAAGTGATAACTAACCAATGAATGGAGAAGCGGAACAGAAAATAATCAGAAATGTGTACTAAATGCATAGGCCAGCTTCAAATAAAACTCGGGGAAGATTAGCATGCAAGAGTTTCTTGATTGGAAAGCAAAAAAAAATTTGAAAATAAAACTGCAGTCAGTAGAGATGCTATAGAGCCTATATTACTTGGTTTTGTTGTGAGTATCCGACATAGATATGTGCTCGAAACAGGTATGCTAAATCTTTTAAAAAATAATAATGTATTTAGAGTCTTTGGGGGATCATATCCCTATACCTATGTCTAGACATTCAAGCATACATCAATACGATGTTGGACACAGGTACTTCAAAAAAAGAGTGCCAGATCAACATAGTTGATCTTCTGAGTTTCAGGACAAACAAAATAAAGGGAATAAAAAGAAAAGTTACTTACGTCTCTAGATAATCTCTCAATTTTCGCTGTATAAAAGTCGACTGCATCTACACTTTCTCCCCAAAGGCCAAGGAAACCCGTCTGCTTGATGGAAGAGAAATTCATCACAAGATGTCAGATATCCAGAAAAACACACACACAACTATGATCTCATCAGCTTTATTTTTAGTTGAATTCTAAAAGTTAAAACAAATTATTGAAGGCAACTTAATAATGTAAAAAGAAAGCTTAAAAATATATTTTCTAAATGTTAATAGTCACGTTATTTGCAAGAAGTTTACCTTCCATAAAGGTCTCTTCGATTGATTCCTTTCGTATTTATTTTGATAGAAGTCAAGCCAATTCTGAATTTTCTTCTTCTCCTTGACCAATCCTGAAAGCTTGTCAGCATTATAAACAACCTGCAAGCATAACGATTATGACAAAAAACCAGAAAAAGATATATTTCAGCATTCAAATGGGTTAAAATGAAGCTTATAAAGTCTAAATAAATATAAGGTTATCTTGATGTATATGTATAATATCAA